ACCCAGCCTCTTCCGAGGGCCCAGCCATCCCGGCGTCCGAGGCGTCCTCCAGGGTGGGGACACGGCCCCCTCCTGGGCGCCCACCCTGTGACTCCATGGCATTGTCCCCCATCGGCCCTGATTCTACCCCTTGGGGTGGGACAGAATAAGTCTCCCACCTCGGAGCCTTTCCGCGTTCGAGACGGTGTTGCCCTGAATGCGCTTCTCCAGGGCGGGGGCTGTGATGGCCATGTGGTCAGAGACCATCCGTGCAGGCTATACCATCTGAAATTGTATATGTGCGTTTTCCAGGAGAAAGTCCTCGTCAGCGAGGTCTGGGAGATAAGGTTTCACGCTCCAAACTGATGTAAGCATTCTAGATTGGCATCCCCCCTCATTTTACTGATGAGGGAAACTGAGGCCCAGACAGTAGAAGAAACTCCTCCCACGTTCACCTCACTAGTTGAAGGCAGAGCCAGGTCCCCGAACTTGGACCCTGAAGCTTGCTCCTTTCCTCCCCGCGTCCTGTGGTGCCGGGCCTGGCAGATGGGGGATTCGCGTGCTGGGTTCAGGTCCCCGGTGGTGCCTGCCTGAGCTGGCAGCAGGCAGAGCAGTGCTGCCCACACCCCTGCCCCGCCCCACCAGAGACACAGCCGCCCCTCCACGGTGGGCACACCACGCTGGCGGGCACACGCCGGGCACCTGGCCTGTTCGGTGAGGCCTCCCCGGCCTTTCCCAGAAGGTGGCGCCAGCCTCTCCCTTCGGGAGCCATGGTTCCTGAACACCCACTGGCTGGCTGGCTGGCTGGCTGGCTTTTAGTCAGCCAGTTAGGCTGCCGCATCGGTGACAGAGCCCAGTCAAACCCTGGGAACTTAAAACACGCAATCCAAATTTTGACAGGTTCTGTGCTCTCAAAGAAACCTTATCTTTAAGCAAACATTCATCAATATTCTGAGTAATGATCTCATTTTTTAAAAAGTTAGATAAGGAAATTATGCTTTTCCTAGCTAGACACTGTTATTTCACTAACTTTGAAAAAGCAGAATTCCTGTGTTCCTTACCAGACTGCAGCAAAGTCAGCAGAACTAGAACAGTCTTGGTCACTTGGGGTAGATGACAGCCCAGAAGGCTGTCTGATCCCCCTTGCTCTCATCAGCATCCCTGCTCCCTTGGGAAACGTCTTTGCCGCCTCTGGCCACCTTGTCTGCTAGACAGTACTGTCCTCCTTCGTCTCTGCTGCCCGTGTTTACTTTTGCTCTCTGTTTGCTTACACTTATAATCTTTGCTGCTTATATTACACAGAACACAGGGGCAAAACCTAAAGTTCACCCTGAATTAGGCAGCGGGCCAGCCACTGGGAGCTTGGCATGTAGAGGGAAGTTGAGAATGCCGACCCGCCTTTTGCCAAAAACAGCATCTGTCTTGGGAAACTTGTTCTAACCTCAGTGAAAGAGGGGGCCTCAGACGGGCCTTCTTAAAGTGCAGCTTCTGGCATTTTCTTTTCAGGCATTTTCAGAAAACCTACATTTGATTAAACGCTTCCTGCAAGTGACGTCAAGAATTCGTGGAGTTTTATATGACAAAGTTCTCCTTGGGTTTGGGTTTCAGCTCAGCAGACCTGAGAAGGTCTGTTTCCCAGCAGCTCCCTGCAGGGTAACTCCTGTGACCTGGATGATAGCAGAGCTTGGGGAGGTTGGGGGGAGGAGGGGACCCCTCGTGATAGAGTCTCGCTGTGAACCTGGCCATTTATTTTCCTGAGGGGCGCCGGGAGGTTTCTAGTTTGCTCCTCTCAGGACTTAAGTGGCGCTGCTGGGACTTGAACCCCAGTCTGTCTCCCAAGCCAGTGTCTTCCCGCCCACTGAGCTGTGCCCACCTCCTGGTGGTCTCCTGAACTCCCCTACATCAGTGTTTTCCAACTTGAATATTGTCTATGAAATCATCCAGTATTTCATTTTTTTTCCCCATGTTTAAAAACTAAGGCCTCAGGTTTTGTCAGTTAGTTAGTATCACTCAGCTTTCTGACCAGTATGTTGTGACACCTGTAAACAGTGGTTTCTTACAGTAGAAGGGCATTGGTGTCTCACTGCGGGACCCGATTGGAGAAGGGACGGGCCCCCTCTTCCACTGTCTGCCTAGCCGTGTGTAACACGCCAGACGCCTGGCTCTGCCAGGTCCGCCGTGGACTGACCACACTCTCAGGGACATGCCTGAGCTCAGGAGGAAGCACAGCACTTCATCTAGTAATTGTTGCGTGATGGAGCCCTTCTAAGCAATATGCTGTCCCTCTCCAAACAAACCGATCACTGAGCATTTAAGTACACACACACACACACACACACACACACACACACACACACACACACACACTGTGGGGAAATGAGTTGGACAGACACTTACTGAGCACCTAGTGCATGATGATGGACACTGCTGGGCATGGGGACAGAAGGGTGGCCAACATGGGAGCTTGCCTTCAAGGAGCCCTTAGTCTAGTGGGGAGATGGCGTCAGCAGAGCAATGAAGTGCAGTGATCAGGGTGCCCCGGGGGTTCCGTGGGGGTGAGGGGGACCTGCCCGGCCAGGTCACTAGCGCAAGTGAGCAACTTTCAGGAAGAGTGAAGGGAGCTGGCGGGGCCCTGCAGCGGCTGGCGGGGCTCATCCTCGCCCAGTGTTCCCTCACACGCCTCGTTTCCTTGCGTGCCCGGTCATCGGGGTGGCCCTTTGGAGTGAGTATTGGACCGGGCAGACCCCTGGGCGTAGGCCCTGGGCCTCTGGACCGAGCCCTGGAGCCTCGTGGGGCACCTCAGCGGCCCAGCCCCACTTCTCTTCTGTTCCTCCACCAAGGCCGAGCTCAGAGCCGCACGGGCTCTGCAGCTACAGTCGTTGCTGTGTCATCTTTCTTAATCCAGATAGCTGTAAAAGTAGGTTTTTTGTTAATCCCCACTGTGGAATTTTTAAAAATTGAGGCTCCTCTTGGTAGAGGAATGAACTGAGGTGCGTCTGCTGCGCTGCACTCAAGAGGCTGAGCGTGTGCCTGTCCGACTCTGCCCTTCTTGGGGTGAGAGGTTAAAGGTCATTCAGACACCGCAGACTGTCTGCTGTCAGGGAACCTGAGTGGGACAAACCGCAGTTCATAGGCAACGGAGTTGGCAGGAGAAATATCACGATGGGCTTCCTTTAAATAGTCTCATTTCCGTGTGTGTGTGTGTCTGTGTCTGTATCTGTGTCTGTGTATATATGTGTGTGTCTGTATATATGTGTGTGCGTATATGTGTGTCTGTGTGTATATATGTGTGTGTCTATATATATGTGTATATATGTGTGTATATGTGTGTGTCTCTGTGTATATATGTCTGTGTGTATGTGTCTGTGTATGTGTGTGTATGTTTGTATATGTGTGTGTATATCTGTGTGTATATGTATGTGTGTATATGTGTATATATGTGTGTGCATGTTTGCGTATATATGTGTATGCATGTGTGTGCATATGTGTCTGTATATGTGTGTGTATATATTTGTGGGTCTGTGTGTGTATTGTGTGTCTGTGTATATATGTATGTGTATATCTTTGTATATGTGTGTATATCTGTGTATGTGTGTATATCTGTGTGTGTTTATATATATGTATGTGTGTGTATGTATGTGTATATGTGTGTGTATGTGTGGGTGTGTATATGTGTGTGGTGTATGTATGTGTGTGTATGTTTGTGTCTGTGTATACGTGTGTGTCTGTATGTATATATATCTGTGTGTATATATGTGTCTCTGTGTGTATGTATATGTGTATATGTGTGTATGTATATGTGTGTGCATGTGTATGTATATATATGTATGTGTGTATGTATATGTGTTTGTGTGTATATATGTCTGCGTGTATGTGTCTATGTATATATGTGTGTCTGTGTGTCTGTGTATATGTGTATGTATATGTGTGTGTATATATGTATGTGTGTATGTGTGTATATATGTGTGTGTGTGTCTGTATATGTATGTATATATGTGTGTGTATGTGTGTGTATGTGTGTGTATGTGTGTCTGTGTATATGTGTCTGTATATGTGTGTATATGTGTCATGTGTGTATGTGTATGTGTGTATGTGTGTCTGCGTGTATATATATGTATGTGTGTCTGTGTGTGTGTATGTGTATGTATGTATATGTGTGTGTGTGTGTGTGTGTGTGTGTGTGTGTGTGTGTGTGTGTGTGTGTGTGTGTGGAGTGAGAGGCCCTGAGCATGACTGGTGACTAGTGACTGCTTGCTGGCGGGGCTGGAGCCTTAGGAGCCCCGCGGGCCACCAGAGAAGTGTCCTGCTTCCTGTCCCTCACCAGCCACCTCCCGAGCCTTTGCCTCCTGTGCCTGCCCCACGTGGACCAGCCCGCCCTGACAGGCCCTGAGCTCAGCTCAGCTGCTGCCACACAGGAGTGCATGAGCACACACAGCACAGACAGAGCGGGGGGAGGGCAGTAGGGGAAGATGGCCCAGGCTGTCAGGTTTCTAAGGCCCTTAGGAGCCAGAGAGTAGGACAAGGCTCTTCTGCAGTATGGCTGCCCTCTACGGCCAGCCCACCCGGCTGACGCTGTTGGAGCGAAAGCGCAGCCGGGCCGGGGCCGGGGGCCGCCCAGTGCGGAGCGATGCGAGCCTGTCCCTGGGCTCGGGCGGCAGTGCTGTCTGGTGTGGCTGGAGCTCACCCACGCGCGGGCCATGTTTCAGGTGGTGAGGGCTGCCGAGGAGGCCGCCTCCACGCTGGCCAGCTCCATCCACCCGGAGCAGTGCATCAAAGTGCTGTGCCCCATCATCCAGACGGCCGACTACCCCATCAACCTGGCCGCCATCAAGATGCAGACCAAAGTCGTCGAGAGGATCGCCAAGGAGGCCTTGCTGCAGCTCCTCGCGGACATCATCCCGGGCCTGCTGCAGGTGGGCCCCCGAGGGGTGGGCGGGACAACCGGGTGGTGCAGCCCCTGCCTAGACCGGGCCTTTCTCTGTCTTTTCTGGCCCACCCTCTGCTGAATGCACAGGAAGATCTTCCTGGCAGCCCAGGCCTGTGGCTCACAGAAGGAACTTTCTGTTTACTGTGAACATGTTTTGATCTTTCTTCGTTGTTCCTTCTTTACTGCACGGCAGTGGGCCCAGCCCTGGGCAGGGTGGGCTGTGGAGCCCAGCATCAAACAGTGGTCCTGGCTCTCATCCGTCCAGCTAATATTAATTAAAAACCCTCGTGAGCATGAGGCGTTGAATTAAGTAGACTCTGGAAGACGAGGTGTTTTCCACTGTTGGGACCCTACCTCAAGGAGTCTCCAGCCCGCTCCAGGACCCGGTACAGCCGTACAGACGGTCGTGGGTGAGGGCGGGTGCCGTGTGCTGAGTTGCTGCCACGGGGGTGCAGGTAGGGGCTTCTGAGATCGGGGTGGGGGCTGACCTCTGGGTTGGGGTGTCAGAGAGAGACGGGCTCAGAGAAGAAGTGATTTAGAGTTGAGCCCTAGGGAGAGGTTTCAGTGGGGAAGAGTAGAGAGACATCAGCTTTACACTTAATAAATGCTGCTGTTTGCTGAGTGCTGGGCTCAGAAATTTAAACACATACAGCCGGGCACTGGCTTATTCCAGGCAGAGGGAAAGACACAAAGGCGGAAAGGTCCAGAGGGCTGTTCGGAGGAGAGCAGACAGTCCCACCTGGGTGTGGGGCGGGGGGAGGCCGACGGGCAGGTTGTGGTCCAGCTGGAGAGGGATGCGAAGGTCTGGCTGCGGGCAGATGTTCCCTGCAGTCCGTGGACAGTGGAGTTTTGCCCACAAGAGTGAGCGACATGGTTCTCATTTCTTGAAAGGGGTTTGCATGTGTGAGGTTTGCTTTACCATGGCGAGAAATAGGAAAGAAGCCAGGTATTTTTCCCCTTAATTTCCTTTTCTCATTCTGTTCTCTCGTGACGTCTCTTGGCTGGTGCTGCCTGGCAGCTCGTGATACAGCATCTATCTGTGTGGAGGAGACCAGCTCGCCGGCCTCCAGCCTCCCACCCCGGAAGCAGCTCACTCTTTGGCACTCTTACATGTGGCCTCTCCGGGGCGAGAGCTCTCAGGGTTCACAGGCAGAGCTCAAGTGTATCCAGGCCGCTCCGGACAAGGTCGAGGTTGAACCGAGAGGGCGTTTGTGGAAACGTTGATGAAATATTGACAGTCAGGCAAAGCTTTGATCTCGTTTCCTTTCTGTGTCCCTCTCTGACTGCAGGGTTACGACAACACCGAGAGCAGCGTGCGTAAGGCCAGCGTGTTTTGCTTAGTGGCGATTTATTCCGTAATCGGAGAAGAGTTGAAACCTCACCTGGCACAGCTCACGGGCAGCAAGGTGTGTATAGTATTACACGGGCGGGTCGTACACCTGGGCCTGCTGGCGCGTCGCAGACTTGCTGCCCTGAAGCTCTGGGCTCCGCACGGGCTTCCTCAGCACGTGCGTTCTAGCTGGGCCTTATTCTCCAGAGGCATTTCTCTAAAGACGAAGTGACCGGCCGTTTAGTGAAGTCACTAAGGTACAACGCGGTCTGTCGTCACTCCAGTTTTTGAAACGATAGCTTTGAACTTCTAGTTTATCCCAAAAAGGAAGATGACTTTCTTTAGAAACCAGCTTGTTTTCTCCCCCCGAAACACTAAGGACGTTTACCTGCTGGCTTCACACAAGGCCTGGGGGGGCTCCAGGTCCCTGTGGGGTGAGGACGGTGACCCTGCACGTGACCTGCCCGGGGGCCCACAGTGATCTCACTCTGGAAGCCGGGCTTTTTATTCCCTGGGCTGCCTCTCACCTTCCTTCTAGACTCAGGGTCAGAAAATGGGACAAAAGGACGATCGGCCCATGGAAGGTGACGGGGGCTGGCGTGCTTGTTGGTTGAAAAATAAACTCACATCTGGTGAACCGCCAGGGGAGAGCAGGTGGCCACCCTCGAGCTCTGGCTGGAGAGGCCAGGGCCTGGGCCGCAGGGCAAACGTGTCACCATGAAGTTACAGAGGCCCTGGGCAGGGGTGCAGATCCACGAGCGCAAAGCCTGCAGCGCCTGGCCTTCCTCCTTAGAAAAGAAGGGAGCAGAGGTGAAGCTCGTGGCTTTTCAGTAGAGCTGTTCCTTTGACACAGTTGGCGAGCATCACCGCTCACAGGGTTCTGGCAAAGCTGGCTCTACTGCCTTCGCCCGAGCAGGGCTCCCACCCTCGGCACTGCCGACACCTCGGGCCACTTCCTGGTGGAGGCGCCACCCCTGAGGTCCCAGGAGCGCACCCCACCCTCAGTTGATGTCCCCACACCTGGCCAGGTGTCCTCTCGGGGCAGAATCAGCCCTGGTGGAGAACCACTGGTCCAGAAGGAGACACTTGACTCTTCCCGCAGACAGAAACCAGCAGCGGGGCTGGCAGGTGTGGAGGCCGCTTCCCCTGATTCCACTTCCCGAGGTCCCCGTCCAGCCTTCCTGGCCACGGCTTGCAGGACCCTGAGCTGAGAGTGCCGAGCAGTGTGCTGGGCCGGGAGCCCCCCTCCCTCTGTGGCCGCCGTCGGAGGCCCTGAATGGTCCCTGGCAGTGGTGGGGACGGCACAGACAGTCTTCACAAAAGGAATTAGATTTGTAAAATGGGAAATTCACCCAAAAGTAATATTAGCCAGACCTCGGTTTTCTGGTACTTTCTACTCTCGTGAGTAAGGGAGCTGCACTGCCATCTCATGTGCCCCCTCCAGCAAGGGGCTGAGAAAACGCAGGTGTCCTCTCATCCCTGTCCTGCGGTTGACCTGCTGCCCCTTGCAGCGGCGGTCTCGGGTCTGGAGCCCAGTCCTGATTGGAGCCAGTATTCCCATCTCCCCGCTGATGATGTCGGTCAGCTCGGAGGGCTTGGGGAGGCTGGCCACACACCTGTCCCCTGGGGCAGCACAGAGCTTCTGGCCGTTACAGTTTTTATAGGTGAGAACTCCGGTGTGTTAACGTGAACCTGGTAGACTCCAGCGTACATCTCCTAAAACAAACACTCTCCCACCCAGACCCCCAAAATGGGTAGCTAACAACACATGGTGCTAAGTTAGAAACAGAGAATCAAGCCATGGCTTCCAGTTGCTGTGTGTCACCAAGCCCATCAGACTCTCCTTCCACTACTTAAATGAAGTTAATAAATGACATCAAGTTCTGTAGAGAAAGGCTGGTGCAAGGCCAGGGAAGGAAGCTGTGAGGTGCATTTGAGAAGTGTCCCGTTGCCATGGCAGCAGTACTGGCCTTAGGATCAGAAAACCTGTCCCCCACTGACTAGCTGTATGACTTTGAGCAACCTTTCCCTTGTGCTCTCTCTCTCTCTCTCTCTCTCTGTAGAATACAGGTAACATAAAATTTACTATCTTAACCATTTGTAAGTGTACAGTTCACAGACACTAAGTACATTCATATTATGCATATTCATCACCGCCATCCACCTCCTGAGCTCTTTGCACCTTGGATAACTGAAATCCGTAATATTCCCCCTCGCCCCCGGCCCCTGGCACCCACCATTCTACTTTCTGTCTCTGTGAGTGTAAAATACTCATAAGTGGAATCATACAGTATTTGTCTATTCGTGACTGGCTTATTTCACTGAGCATAATGTTCTCTAGGTTCACCCATGTTGTAGCAGGTGTCAGAATTTCCTATTTATTTATTTATTTTTGGCTGTGTTGGGTCTTCATTGCTGCACATGGGCTTTCTCTAGTTGCGGCGAGCGGGGCCTACTCTTGGTTGTGGTGCGCGGTCTTCTCATTGCGGTGGCTTCTCTTGCTGCGGAGCATGGGCTCCAGGCACACGGGCTTCAGTAGTTGTGGCACGTGGGCTCAGTACTTGTGGCTCACGGGCTCTAGAGCGCAGGCTCAGTAGTTGTGGCGCACGGGCCTAGTTGCTCTGTGGCATGTGGGATCTTCCCGGACAAGGGCTCGACCCCGTGTCCCCTGCATTGGCAGGCGGGTTCTTAACCACTGCGCCACCAGGGAAGCCCCTTCCCTTCTTTTTAAGGCTGAATAACAGTTCATTGAATGTACATGCAGCATTTTGCTTATCCGTTTCTTGGTAATGGCCTTGTGGGCTGTTTCCACTTGTTGGCTATTATGAGTAATGCTGCTATGAACATGGTGGTACAGATACCTCTCTGAGACCCCACTTTCAATTCTCTTGGGTATATATCCAGGATTGGAGTTGCAGGATCATATGATAACTGCCAAACTGTTTGCCACAGCAGCTGCACCATTTCACATTCCCACCACCAACGTACAAGGGTTTCAGTTTCTCCACATCCTCGCCAGCACTTGTTTTCTTCTCTTCTTTTTCGATAATAGCCATCCTCATGGGTGGTGTGAGGCGATATCTCAGTGTAGTTTTGATTTGCATCTCCCTAATGATTGGTAATGTTAAGCATCTTTTCATATGCTTGTTGGCCAGTTGTATATCTTCTTCAGGGAAATGTCTATTCAAGTCCTTTGCCCATTTTTGGATCATGTTGTTTGTTTTTCTGTTATTGTTGAGTTATAGAAGTTCTCTCTATATTCTGGATATCAATCCCTTGACCTTTGATGCACAAAATTTTTTAGTTTTCGTGAAATCCAATTTGTCTATTATTTTTTTGCCTGTGCTTCTGGTGTCATATTCAATAACCATTTCCAAACCCAGTGTTGTGAAGCTTTTGCCCTGTGTTTTCTTCTAACAATTTAAAAATTTTAGCTTTTAATGCAGGTCTCTGATCCATTTTGAGTTAATTTTTGTGTATGGTGTTAGGTAAGGGTCCAACTTCATTCTTTTGTGTGTGGATATTCAGTTTTTCCAATACCATTTGTTGAAAAGACCTTCTGTTTCTTCAGAGAACCTCACTGGAATTTTGATAGGGGTTTCATTGAATCTATAGATAGCTTTGGGTAGTATTGACATCCTAACAGTATTGACTTCCAATCCATGAACACGGGATGTCTTTTTTTTTTTTAACCTCCATACTGTGATGAGTTGTTGTTTGTTTTTAGTTTTTTATACTTTTTTTCACGGTACGTGGGCCCCTCACTGTTGTGGCCTCTCCCGTTGTGGAGCACAGGCTCCGGACGCACAGGCTCAGTGGCCATGGCTCATGGGCCTAGCCGCTCTGCGGCATGTGGGATCTTCCCGGACCAGGGATCGAACCCGTGTCCCCTGCATTGGCAGGCGGATTCTTAACCACTGCGCCACCAGGGAAGCCCAGAGTTTTCATTTTTAGTCTATAGAAATGCAGTTCAGTTTTGCTAACTGATTTTGTATTCTGCTACTTTGCTGAATTCTTTTATTAGTCTTAATGCTTTTTTGTAGAATCTTTAGTATTTTATACCTGTGAGATCACAGTTGTCCCTTGGTATCCACTGGGATTGCCACAGATAACAAACTCTGCAGATGCTCAAGTCCCGTACCTGTGGTTCCACTTCTGTGTAGCCAACTGACCACAGATGGTGTAGTGCTGTGTGTGTTGAAAAAAATCCCTGTATAAGTGGACCTGCGCAATTCAAACCTGTGTTGCTCAAGGGTAAACTGTATGTCATCTATGAACAAAGATAATCTTGCTTCTTCCTTTCCAATGTGGATATTTTTTTTTTTCTTTTCCTGCCTCATTGCTCTGGCTGTAACTTATTAATAGAAATGCTGAAAGTAGGCATCCTTGTTCCTCATCTTAAAGGAAAAGTTTTCAGTCTTTTACCGTCAAGCATAATGTTCACAGTGTGCTTTTCATATCTAGCTTTTGATATGTTGAGATACAGGCAGCCTCAGAGAGAGTGCGGATTCGGGTCCAGATCACTGCGGTAAAGCGAATATTGCAATGAAACAAGTCACACAAATTTTTTGGTTTCCCGGTACGTATAAAAGTTATGTCTTTACTATACTGTAGTCTATTAAGTGTGCAATAGCATTATGTCTAAAAAAAGTCAATATACCTACCTTAATTTTTTAAAAGTTATTGCTAAATAATGCTAGCCATCATCTGAGCCTTCAGTGAGTCATAATCTTTTTGCTGGTGGAGGGTCTGGCCTCAGTGTTGATGCTGCTGACTGATCAGGGCAGTGGCTGCTGAAGGTGAAGGTGGCCGCAGCAGTTTCCTAAAATAAGACAATAGTGAAGTTTGCTGAATCGATCGACTCTTCACAATTTCTCTGTTGCAGCAATGCTGTTTGATAGCATTTTACCCACAGTAGAATTTCTTTCAAAATCGGAGTCAATCCTCTCGAACCTGCCACTGCTTTATCAAGTAAGTCTGTGTAATAATCTAAATCCTTGGTTGTCATTTCACCAGTCTTCACAGCGTCTTCACCAGGAGTCGATTCTGTCTCAAGAAACCACTTTCACATGAGAT